GGGGCAAATTATGCAATTTTGAGTTGCACACAGACGGTCATATAGGCGGTTACGAACTAGCTGGCGCTTAAGATTACTCAGTGGTATTTCAACTACGCTCACCGAATTACCAAAAAAATACAATAGACCAAAAATATAGACCAAATACCCCGCTAGGCACTCATAGGACCCAGAGACATAACGGGGACGACTTCGAAGGATGTGTCACGATCCTCGAACGCGAATCAAGAACACGGGCGCGAAAAACTCTCGAGGCACTCTGGATTAATTCCAGAAATCCGAAAATGAACCGCAGGGAAGAATGCCTCATTATCACGCGTGGTATAGGGCAGTATATAAAACTGCTTTTCTGGTGTGAGGGGCACATTATACTTCCATGTGATTTCTGCGCGGTTGGTCTCTACGTGACATACTTAGTGGAAACCTCATAGGAAGCGGTGAGTTTGCAAAACTGTGTTCAAAGTGATTGAAATCTTGGTTTAGAGTTTCTTTGTTTGGTTATGGAGGCGTCTGGCCGAGTAGATTGCTATCAATTTGACCTTTCCAGGCTCTGGGAAAGGCGAAATCCGCCGAAACGTCAGCTTAATCGTGAACAAAGAATAATAACACCTCGCGTTTGCTCAACAAAAATACGAAGAAAATTACTAAGTTAAACAGATGAGGAAAACATGGACTACGAACCAGTGTTAAGAAAATCTAATTCATGAAGAACGTTACATGATTTAAGAAACAACAGATTACCTTGAATGGATCACTGACTAAGGAAACCACATCCTACGTATACGTGTAACATTTAATGGCTATAGGTAACGATTTGAAAAAACTCGATAGAAGAGTAGCACGACCTATACCTGGGCCTTTGACAGAGAGTATTGATCAGCTTATATATCGTGACTTAAGTACTCACTTAATTGACGCAGTAATTGTTTCAGCACTGTACAATGCAGTGGAAGTGTATAGAAGTGTATTGGCTGATACTTAAGTCATACCAAAAAAGTTTCACAATACACGGGGTACTCAAGCGACGTCTTCTGAAGATGAATCGACACACTCAACAGCAAAGCGGTCTTAGCAGCTCAGATTCGTGAAGGATACTCCCGTCTTCGAATGCAGCACAATACGCGTCGAAAAGCCAACAAAGATGGGCTCTGGTAGCACAATGACTGAGGGCGACAGATGGACGAAAAGAATAATGAAGTGGATCCTGAGAGAACCAAAGTGACCTCGAGAACTACCACCAAGAACAGCTGATTTATTTGTTACACGCGTAGAGGACCTATACATACGGTTGGAACTAACTTCGAAATCCATGTTATGCAGTTTAAACTATGTGCGAATACAACCACTTACGGTTGCAAAAGAACAGAATGAATTTAATAACTGCTAAGTTCAGCAAGACACGTGAGGACGGATTATATACGTGAGCAACTAAGTACACAAAACTTTTAAAGCGAAAAGTCACGTACTGCTTTGCTTCCTGTTGTAATCTGCGTGACCTTTCCGCCTCAGTTGCACCAAAAGAGTGTTGTTCTGCAGTCTGCAAGTAGTTTGTGAGGGAAAACTAGTTAGAAACAATGTAATTTGTATATCCGGAGGAAAAGCCACGTACGCATCGACTAGCGTGTCTTCCAACCCGGCAAGCAACTTTCTTAATATTCTCCAAAAAGTCCTTGAATTCGGAATACGCCTAAAAACGGATGCACTTAGAAGACTAGGACTGTAAATGTATACAGTCAAGGAATAAATGATCAGCTAGAAATTTTACCTTGACTTTTATCTCACTGCGCACAGGAGACATGGTTTTGGCCAATATCTGAGTAAAGCGATACTTCTCAACGAGAGCTAAATGTGTGTGTTCCAACTCTTCTAAGACTTTCAAAGCTTGGTAGTACCTGTAAACATGCTATGCATAGCGCAATAGTTTATAAAACAACGAACGATGACAAATGGAACTACTTACTTTTTAAGCTGCATAAGCTCTTGTAATTTCGCATAATTCTCCAAAACGGGAAGGCACACCGATATTTGGTCAATAGCAGTAGAGGCATTCTTTACCAATTTCCTATAGATCTGTTGGTTCAAAAGCAACGAAAAGGATCTAGCAGAGGCTTACCTGTACTTCACAATTTCTTCACTTTTCTTTGACAAGTCCTCACTTGCCGCCTGAATTTGTGAATCAATATATGTCGCATCATCCTGCAATGAATTACTCAAACTACTTCTATGCCATCATCATTCCAATTGCTGTAGAACTTCAACTTAGATGTAAATAAGAAGACACCTTTATACCACCACAGCGATCCTTGAGCAACAACAGTTCTTTCATGGAGTCCACAAAGCCTTGATAATGGAACGAACACACCTAAATAACGATCAGATAATGATACAAATGTCTTCTAGATACTTGGATGGCCCCTTCTCAGTGGTTGTGCCATCATAATCTCCATTTTTTCGGAGTTTTGCTGGTTTAATCATTGTGGTCCCCTGGAGTCCCAAGTAGAGCCACGCCAAAGTCTGCCCTAGGTCGTTACCACCACAGGCTGTAGCCTCCCTTGCAATTGGTTTACTCTTAGCAAGGCTTCCTAAGGGACATGCCAGACTCCTCAGTTTGGGAGACCCTGCCAGGGGGACGAATCCCCAGCTGTACATCGTGACCCGAAACCTAGAAACAAATCCCAGTCCGATGAGGCGGTAAACCGTTGGGAGGGTCTTCTGGATGGGAACAGATATGCAAAGAAAGATTACCGAGCAAGCCTTCACTGAAAATCGAACAACTCATCGACAGAAATCCTTTACATTAACACACCTTCTGAATATTTCTGTCGTACTGATGAATCCTGTGTTCAAGAGCACGACTGAACTTCCGAACATCACCGCAATCATAAATTGCTCTAAAATTAGCACATAACTAATTACTGTGGGTAAAGTCAGAGTAAGTCTTAAATTGAAATGAGAAAACAACATAGAACCTCAACACTAATCCTATGCTCCCAGAATCTGTAGTTTCTAGCTCATAGAGAAAAAATTCTTGTTCGGCACTCATGTCGGGAGCTAAAATAGAAATGTAGATGGAATCAATTATAGAGGCAAAGTTACATGGCCGAAGAAAGATTTACCAGGCTGATAACTAGTCGATGCTGTATCACTGCTTTCGCCAGCAGTATCTTTAGTACTTGCCAGAGATGACCCGTCCATCCTGATGAATTCGTCGATGGAAAACTAAAAACACATATGCTAATGCGATTAATCATATCCCGAATTCAACCAATCAGTTAATCAAAACAATGGGTTATTCAAGAAAGATAAGTGAACCTACGCCGAACAAAAACATCCGTCAGGAACGCGGTTAAAAGAACCTATCGTATAATAAAAGAACTTACAGAACTACATAAAGCGTTAAAGCATCGTTTGGAAGTTTTTGAATGCATATCAGACCCGTAGAACCGCGGTAGCCTCTAATGTATCGAACCAATGCTGCTACCCTCTCAGAGAAGTCTGGTACCAATTTTCCGACCCCGGAGGGATGGAGGGCTTGGTCGGCGTGAAGCGCGGGGATCGACCCCATGTGTATTCCATGGAGCCTCTGACCAATGCGCTACAGGCACACCTTTGCAACAACCTTAAGCGATAAGAAAACTCTCCGGTAGATAAGCGTTTAACATTTGAAGTTCAAGTTATTGCAAAATGAACCTATAAGCTTCGACCGGGAGACCACCCACATGCTTAGAAGCTACAACGTTTTAAAACCCAATCTTAAACATCACTGTCGGAAGTAGAACACACTCGTAACTAGACCAGATTAGAAATGTTTTAGAGCCGACTGTGAGAACGTTAGCATCGAATGAGAAAATGCGACCTCAACAAATGGAAAATATTCCAGGCTGTTGAATAGAATACAGCTTTCCTTTGTTGGTGCTCATCAACTCAAACCATATGGATGAGGCGTGTAACGTCCTTAAATATTAACACGTAGGAGGAAACCAAGGAGGAGCAAGAAATCCACTTTTACTTCAGCACTTACAAAATGGCAAGACCATTACAGCAAAACAGGGTGGAAAGCGCTGTGGTAGTGATGGCGTTCCTTAAAACAAAGGTGTTGCTCCAACCTCGCACGATGTCCACCAAACCCGACATGCCTGCGATAAATTGGTACCAGACTTCTCTGGTCTCAGCTCACTTCCTCCCGTACACTTGAAAACGCCGTAGTACTGCAATCCTAGGAATAACCGATTTCGCCAGTACTTAGTGCATTTCGTGACGAGAAAAAACTCCCCAGCAGCGGAACCCACAGGCAAAGGTTCGAAAATTCTTGTGGAATGAGTGCGAGAGAACTAGCTGAATGCAAGCTCCGTATGATATGTGGTGGAAAGCCATATGAACAAAAAAAACGAAAAAAGTTGGAACACATGATAGGATAATGACACCGAATTCTGCAGGATGGATCACCCGGAAAAAACCAGTTGTCATCATCGAACAATCATAGCAACAACAGTCGTCCTGTATAAAAGAGCATCCCCAGGTGAGGTTGCCTCATTCCAGCGATGCTTCAATGAGGAAAACCCGTCTCGGTATGACGACGAAGACGCTACATCAAGAGAACGAACAACTATGGAACATCGACTCGGATCACCGGATGTGATGTAGACGAAAACGCCGGAACGTTAGTCGAATGAAGATTGTATGACAACTTCGTGCAAGCTTGTTAATGAAAGAATGCGAAGATACGGGCGTCCCTTATGACGACCACGTACACTTTGGCCGGCTATGTTAGTAACTAAAGTGAATCTGTAGCTGTACTCACAGCTGCAGTTACTTTACAGATCAGGGTATGAGACGCACCTGTCACCATGTTCGAATAAAACTACCACCACGGAAGAGAGCGAGGGAAAGAAACGAACGGCAAATGTGCTGGGATCCGCACAACTCGTAAAGACGTACCGTCCAAGTATCCAAGTAAGCAAATGAGGTGGCAAGGTGGAAAATTCGACAAGTCTACTTATACGAGCTCAAATCGGACGTTGGTACTGCAGACAGCTGGAAACATTATCGAGTTATGGAATCAAAGAAGTGTCAACGAATGCAAACTAGAGCGTCAGTTCCGAAAACTTCACCCTGACGAATACGACGTTGAAGATGAGGAATCCAGTGCACATCCTTCTACAATTGACGACGACGACTTTGAAGGCTTCGTTGGGAGCAAGTACGCGCACTACCCTTCCAGAACTTGCAGAACTCGTGCTGGGATCCGAAAGCACACATGATGACGGTCCAGGTAGATAAAAGAAAGATATTCTGTATTTCTAAATTGTTGAGCTTACGCGCGGTTGCCTCCCAACAGTTTAGCGCCTCGTCGTCGCTAGGGGTGTTCCTGGGTGTTGGACTGCGATGTACAGAGGAGGAATTCATCTCCACATGAGGGCCTCCCAAGCTGAGGAGTCTGGCGTTTCAATCAGGAAACCTAGCTAAGAGTAAACCACTACCAGGATCCACCACTGTCCTGGTATCAAAGTCACATGGTGGCAAATCCCGCTCTGATACACAAGGGCGGAGACTGTCTGTGGTTGTGACCACCTGGGGCAGACTTTCGCTTGGCTGACCTCGGGACTTCAGGGAACCACAATAGCTAAACCAGCAAAACTCCAAGAAAATGGAGACTATGCTGAGCCCCGCGCAATCAGTAAGAACGAGCCATTCAGGTACCCAAGTAAGTACACAAGATTATTATACGACTTCTATACGGTCAGCGTTTCGACGTCTTCGTTCCATCTACTCGGATCATAGGCTTTGAAGAGGATGTAGACATCGAAATACTAGCCGAATAAAGGTTGTTTAACGTCCTCGTGTAAACCCAAAAATTTGAACACAAATGAGAAATATCAACTAACATTTTCGCTTTAAGAAATACCTAAGGCAAACACGCGTGAGGACACTTTTAAGAGCAGATATTCTGCATTCATATACACCTTTAATGTTAAGAAAATACTATATAAACTGGTACAATAGTAATTGCTTCTTTGTAAGCTCGACAGAGAGAAGAGTTGAGTCCCACACAGCCTCAAAACAAATAGCTACGACAATTGAACAATGTTACCGTAACTACGGAGCACTTTTTTTTCCGACGGCTCTCTTGCATTGGCGAAAGCACCAGCAGACGATCACGACAGGTTTTCGTCATTCGTTTTTTTTCCTGTAGTGCCGAGAAGTTGAAGTATATTGCCAGTAAGGTTCGGAAATCTGTTTCTATTGTGCATTATTTGTGACTTGACTAGATCCTGGAAAAGCTTTGTGAATTTCTTAAAAAAAAAACGAATTTTGAACTCAAAACCTTCTGTTGGTGCTCTTATATTGATTACTATGTGCTAAATCTACTAAACCATTAACAGTAATACGATTTCTATAATACTGAGACATTTGCAAAACTGCGGACCGCAGGTGTCTGCGGTGGGGAACGAATGCGCTATTGTTCTTTCCGGGGAGTAACGCGTTCACCACCACACCATGCGGGTCCTTCGTTTCGCCTGTCTCTCAGCTAGTTCTATCGATCTTTTGCCATCAACAATCACCCGTCAACGCGATTGAGCTGGGGAGCGCAAATCATCATTGAACCCAGTTAAGCTGAGCCGTTAAAAAGAATAGGTAGTAAATAAAAAGGTTAAGATTGTGAATGCGTCGTTTTCTTGTTCAGCAATCGCGAGGTTTTTAAACAGCATNATGCTGTTTAAAAACCTCGCGATTGCTGAACAAGAAAACGGCGCATTCGTATTCCAATACCGAGGTTAATAGAAAGTCGATCCTGGGAACTGTTAAGATTGTGATTATAACTATATCCTCAATTTAACTGCGTTCGTTGCCGATTTGGGCACCCCAGATCAATCCCTTTGACGGGTGATTGCTGATGGCAAAAGCACAATAGAACTAGCTGAGAGACAGGCGAAACGGACCCGCATGCTGTGGTGGTGAACGCGTTACTCCCCGGAAAGGACAATAGCGCGTTCGTTCCCCATCGCAGACACCTGCGGTCCGAAGTTTTGCCAATATCTCAGCATTATAGAAGTTATATTTCGCGGCATACCGTGCCGTTAAAAAATTGGCAGTAAATAAAAAAGGTTAAGTAATATTTGTTTTTGCGTACAATTGATATTTACTCTTCAAACCGAGCGTCGTTTCATCTCGGTAGAAGTAATCAGTGCCTTCTTGGAGTAGCTCGTGTTAGCTTAGCAATCCACGAGAGAGTTATTATCTTGTCTTCGACAATGTAATTTCACGTATACTGGCAAGCATTTCAGGGTTTTGTCCGAAATGGATGGCGATTACGAAAGTGTGACTTTGGTTAAACCTGAGATTTTTGTTTATCGTATCCCACCACTTACAACAAATCGAGGGTATAAGTAAGTTCGCTGATTTACCGTTGATTTTCTGTGTTTGATTATTTGTGTGATGTTTTAATCACATCGTGCTTCTTTTTTCAAAAGCTTATAAAAACGAAGTCTTTGGTTTGCTTTCGTAAGAATTCGAAACGTGAGGTGTTATGTGGAGGCGCTCCGCAGTGTATATGAGGTCGGTCCCCGCAACCCAGGCCCACCAAACCCTCCACCCTTCCGGGATCTGCAAATTGATACTAGACTTGTCTGAAAGGATGAGAGCACTGACTGGATGCATCCGTAGGCCACCGTGAGTCATTAGAAAGAACAGGTATGCATTCAGTCATCTCCAACGGTGCTTAGTGAAATCGAATGCTTGGTGTATCTCTCAGGGATTGTTCGACACCAAGAGCTTTATCCTTCTTATCCTTTTAAAGTGTTATGTAACTTATGTTTGCAAGCCAAACTTTCTGCACATTTATTTTTACAAAGTTTATTTTGCAATGAGTCAAACAAACTTTGCGTCGTTAATGAAAAACGATCATGACACTAACGAATCAGCGAGCTTAATGTACTTCCAGTACAGTTGTACACCTGGAAAATCTCCGCTAATCTTTTCGCGCAGCAGTGGTAATTTGTCTGCTCCGCTGGCTTATTCGATGCGAGGAGCCTAATACTTTTAATGTTTTTTACATACAGTGTATTTTGGAAAGAACATAGCAGGCACTGGTGAATAGCCGTTAGTGGTTGCGTGGGTCTAATTTTAGTTGGGCTTCTTGGTGGAAATATTAAGTTCATAGTACTGTGGAGGTAGACGCCGTAGCCACAATGAAA